GGTGCATCAGAGTGAGAATTTGACTTTTGAGAGGTTTTTAGTAAAGGAGAGACGGGGCCTCACATTTTTAAAATTTCACTCTGGCTGCTGTGCAAGAAAGGACTGGAGAGAAAGGTGATTAGAAACAAAGAAGCCAGTTAGAAAGCCATTAAAGTTATTCATGCAAGAAGAAATGGGGTCTTGTTGTAGGGGTGGCTGAGGATATGAGAAGTGAATAGATTTGGGGTATATTTTAGAGGAAGAGCTGACATAACTTGCTGATAGAGTGCATGTGGCAAGGAAGGAAAAAGAGGGAAAGAGAGGAACCAATCTAGAATGACGTTGGACTTGAGCATCAGGGTGGATGAGGACACAATTACCTGAGATAGAGAAGACTTGATAAGGAATAGTATGACAGGTAGAAGTGAGCACACTTCTGTCTGGTCATGTTAAGCTTGAGATTGTCCTCTTTTTCTCTTCAGAGTAAATAGGTGTTCCACTCTATAATTATCTTCTTAATTTTTCTGTACTTGTTCATCGTTAATTTCCTCCCCATTAGAACCTTCAAAGGAGCAAGAACTTTGTTTATAGCGTTCATTGTTGTATTCCTAGAGTCTGGCACAGAGTACTTGCTCAATAAACATTAGGATTTGTTGACTCTGGTTCAGTGGTTCTCAAACCTAAGTGTACATCAAAACCACCTGGGCAGCTTATTAAACGTTTAGAATCAGCCCTCACCCTAATCCCTCCCTATCAGGACTCTGCTTTAGGAAGTCTGGGGTTGCCCTCAAGAAATTGCATATTTGGCCAACACTGTAGATGGGCAGTGGTCTACTGTCTAAACCAGTGGTTTAGATATATTAGTATTCATTCAATATTGACCTTAGAAACCACATTTCAGCACCATCCCAAAGGGCTACAAAGTATGGCTTTTAGAATTTAATGTATTTTCAAATGCAGTCAAATCATAAGGTGTCAATTTGAAAGCTTTTGAGAGAAAACCGTTGAAAGAATCCTGGGGTCCCTATCTCATTTGACTTCTATGCTATCATTGGAAACCAGGAAGGGGTCTCTTAGAAGGGCCCTTCATGTAAAGAAAGATGGCTACTTAAGTGCTGGGACTGTCGTCCTCCTTTACCACATCTCCAACGTGTGTGCCTCATTCCTATTTACAGGTGTGTAAAATTCCTTCACTTGGTGGTTAGTAAATGAATGTTTTTGTTTGTTTGCACAGCATCTATTCCCTTTTCCAGGAAGAATGCTTCAGGATTCCTTTGTGGGACCTTTTTTCACCCTATTGCTGAGGTCTCCATGCCCTGCCCTCCCCTTGAGCAAGGGGTGGCCCAAGCTGGACCAACGAGATGGTCTCTTCCTAGCATTTGAATAAGGAAATCAGAGTTATCTTGAGGGACGTCCCTGAGGAGAATGTGACGAGATACCGCTACAAGGAGCTCCCCGTGTCCCTTCCAACACCCGACTCTTCAGCTTTCCCCTCAATGCTACGAGCCATGAGCCTTATTCTTCCGAGAAATTCCTGTTTTATTTAAGTCAGATAAATTGGTCTCAGTTGCTTGCAATATAATCTGTGACACAGCAATTAAAAACCTTGCTTTCTGTAATTAGAAGTAAAGTTTTTAAAACAAGTTCTTTCCGGGAGCAGGTACACATTGACCTAAGTTTTCACTAACGTGTAAATGTCTGATGGCAGAGCCTGGCACACTTCATCAGGCAGAGGAGAGTGAAAGGGCTTCGGGCCTTGACATCAGTTCTGGCATCTGAGGTAGGAAGTAGAAGGATGTATGGGACATGACACATAAATTCCACTTCATAAATTTGCCCTGAATTTGCATATGAGAGAAATACCTTGCTGGAAACTCTTACAATGTTGCTTTCGCAGTTTCTACTCAGCTCTCCCAGTTCCCGAATTTCTATCTTCAGACTCAACTTTCAGGGTAAGCCTTTCTGAAGCAGGGCATAATTACTAGGACACATAAACCTAAGACATCAATTCTGAACATGAGAACTCATAATATTAAATTTAGTTCTCATTTCCTCCTGGGGCCCGCAGGGAAAAATAAGAACATCCTGTCCTTTTAATCATTTGGGTTAAATCCTAGTCATTTGTTGACCTCTCCCTTCCCCCCATTTACAAAAAGACCTATAATTCTTTAAGATTCTAAGAAATTAATAACTAAATTTATGTCTTATAAGCAATATTCTTTGAACAAGACAAGTTTCTCATAACCTCATTCCTAGTGATTACTAAAATTAAGTCACAGCAGATAAGATGCTCGACAAAATATGCTGAGTGTGAACCACACCCAGGGAGAGATAAGGAGCATGCCATAGTGTGACAGGAGGAATAAAAGTAAACTCTAATCAGTTGCAGATTATATGCAGTGTAAATGACGATCAAATGTAAAAACCAGCCTAGTTATTTTTTATTTCTAATAGTGGTTGCTATTTGTGAAAACTAAACATAACAAACCCTGGATATAAATCTATTTAAAGTTTGCATGGCCAATTGTTTTCATTTCAAGTGGTGGTGGGGATCAGTCTTATCATCGAAACACGAAATAGTATTAGTAACATTTGCTAAGCACTTGCTATATGCCAGGTACTAGTCAAAGTGCTTTATAATGTAAATATCTTATTTAATCTTTACAACAACCCCATGAGCTATTACCCTGTTATCTCTGTTTAGAAACAAGGGAACTGAGGCACTGAGACGTTGAGTAATTTGCCCAAAGAGCTGGTAAATGGTAGAGGTTGGGTTTTGAATCTGGTTTATGAAAGGGCTCCAGAATCTAGGCTCTCAAGCCCTTTTCCTACCACCTTCTGACGTTGTTCGGCCAATTAGTGAAACAGGATGGTCTTTCCTTTTACTAGCACTTGAGGCCCTTATAAGCCTCACTTTGAAAAATTCAAAGCTACATCTTGGAAACTACCTGAACCAGGTAATGAAAATAAATAGGCTTTCCAAAAGCCAGATTGCTTGGCTGTTAATTGTTAACTAATCGAGGAGCCTTCCAGCAGCCTTGACAGAAATTTACTTACCCAGATTTTACATTAAGTAAAGGAGCAAGAATTTGGGGATCTAATCTAAGTCAAGTCTCCAAATGCATGAATGAGGCCTTGGTTTTCAAACTCCCCGAAGTTTATACTTTGTGGTAGGGGAAGGAGTAGCACTCTATCTCAGAAACGTGGGTTCTTTTTCTGAGAGGTGATTTTTATGTCTTTGCCAGGGAGGTAATTGAGAGACCAGTCTGGGATTTGCATCTGGGAGTAACCTGGGTCTGGAGAGAGAATGGCACATACATCAAACAACCTGTTCTCAAATATTCAGGGGCTCTTCAAACGCAGGGTGCGTGTTCTGAGCCAATCTCCCCGCAGCCTGGCCATGACACAACATGCTTCAGCCCAGAAGGTGATAGTTTTCTCCATGACTCTTCTTCTTAGACTCTTTCTTTATCTTTTCCATAAAATAGGTTGTAGAATTGACCCAACCCTGACTATGTTTTAAAAGTTTGTCAGAGTTTTTACAGGATGTACCTCTGGTCGGCCTTGGTCTTTGTATTTTCTGGGAGTAAGCCAGCACTCCTTCCCTCATGTCATTACTTTCTTTATATACAGCATTAGTACTTTTCTTACTGGATTAAGAAAAAAGAGTGTATGGTGACACCAAATGGTTCTTTGCCCTTAGAAGACACCCTGTGCTTTTGCCCTTAGAAGACACAGGGGCAAGCAAGGGCATGACCCTCCCTGCCCCTAATCACATATTCGTTGTAGGATATCAAGGTGGAACCTGGGTTAGCCAAAGTCACCAAAAAACAAACAAAAAATGAGCAAAGGGATTCAAAATTATGGAAACAAAATGCTAGAAAGCCTACAATCTTATGTTCTAGTGGGAAGGTCCAAAGAAGAGTCACATGATGCTTGGGTTCTGCACCAGGTTAGCTGTGAACTTGAGCAAGTTACTTCATGATTCTGGACCTGTTTCCCTATCTGTAAAGTGGGTGTGGGAGGCAAATTGTACACTTGTGGACTTGGAAGGGGACTTGGACGTGCTTTGATCCAGCCTCTGATCAATGGCAGGAATTTCATCTACGATACTCCTGACAGATAATCAATCTTCCAACTTCCCATAAAGGGCACTCCTTATCGCCTTATCCTGTTTATGCTGAACTAAGTTCTGCATCTCAGGACCTCCATCCATTTATTGGTCTTCCTTCTTTCCTTTGAAGTTCTGAGCTGGAAACTTGGATGGCAAGAGAGATCATATAGTAGCATAGTGGAGAGAATCAGGTAAGCCTGAGTCTGGACCTCATCTCAAGCACTTAACTAGCTGTGAAATCTTGACCAAATTGCATCAGTTCCATGAGCTCAGTTTCCTTATCTGTCTAATGAAGAAACTACAACCTGCCCTTCAAGTTTGTTGGGAGAGTTAGAAATCATTTATGTAAAATACCTTTATACAGAGAATGCTTAATAAAAAGGCCAAGAGGATTCTTTTTCTTAGAATATGGCAAAGTCAATATTTATTGATGCCTGAGGAGTTTATGACAGGATATCAGGTTCTTGTTACAGTGGTATGTTCTGAAAATTTCTTATTATATTTTTTCCCCTTGTTCCAGTTCTAAATAAATGATCACTTCATATATATTTATTTCCCTTTCCAATAAATCCTCATGTTCTTTTGCTTGTATAGAAAGGAGAAGGAAACTTGGACATGGACTTAAGCTATCGTAGGTGAGTGTATGCTGACCAGTTAGGAAAAAAACGTCCACAGTAGAGGTGGAGTTTAATCTTTGAAGCAGGAGATGCTTCTGAGCTTTGCTGCACAGAAATCATTTGCTTCTGAAATAAAGGATAGTTTCAGTAAGAGCTAAAATGTGCATTGAGAGGAGTGATTAGAACAATATTGAGAACTTGTTAACTTTACTGGAGTGAAAGGAATTCTGTGAGTTTTGGGAGTGAGATAACCTAGAGCTGTGGATCTCACAGTCAGCTGAAACCCCATAGAAAATTCCCTTAGAAATGGAAGCTTCAAAGTGTCTCCTCTTGAAATTGCCCATCACTATAAAAAATTAAAACGCGACTCTTTGACCAAGAAGACCCACTTAAAATAAGCTACCCTACAGAAATCTTTGTATGAGCATTTAAACATGATAGTTACAAGGATGTTCACCACCACATGGTTTCCAATGGCAAACAAAAGAAGCAACAAGCTGAATGTTTCAATAGGAGAATAGTAAAAACAGTTATAATAGACCCCCAAAATAGCATACTATAGGGCCTTAACGAAACATAAAGTTGACTAACATGTTGTCCATGATATCCGAGTATAAGGAAAAAACGTAGGTTGTAGAACAATGTGCAAGAGGTAATGCCATATTTGTATATATGTAAGGATATATGTATGTGTGTATATATTTATGTGTACATATAAACATAAATATATGGTATATGTATTTAGTAAAAATGTTTGGAAATATATACATAAAATTGTTAACAGTACTTATTCCTGAGGAGTAGGATTAGGAGACTGAGGGACACTTTGATTTTTCCTTTAAATGTTTATATATTTGAATGCTTTTCCATGTGTAAATATTATTTGTATATTAAAAAAACAACAACAATGAAATGATAATAGCTAAGTTCAGAAACATATGTTTAAGCACTTATCGATTCCTAAATTTCAGGAGTCCACACTTGGAGAATACCTTTTCAAGAGAAATGGATAAAGTTCCTCTGTTTCCCTTGGATAAAAAGAATCTCAGAATTGAAAGTCCCTCTTGCTTAATTCCCTAGAAAGACACCCACCTATCCAAGCCCTCGAGGCAAGGGAGGGACCTGAGGCCCTGACATCCCAGGGTTCCTTCATGCCTCTCCACTGCTTTCTCTGGGCTTCACGTAGGGCAAATGTTTTAAAAGGAGTGTGACCGTTATGAGTGTTTTCCTGGAAAGGAGGTGAGATTTGGTCATCATATAATTTCCCCCAAACAACCTGATGTGCGCACTTGGAGTTAAGTGCTAGTTACTATGAATAAAGCTCTGTGGCCCAGGAGCTTGCCTTTTGAAGCTTAGCACTGTGAACTTCTGTCATCTAACATTTGCTAGATGCCAGTTCAGCTGATTAAAGAACGGTATTGATGATCACTTGGGTTTTTTTCATGGGGCCAAAGTGTATCACAAAAAATAATAGTCTTCAACAACCAGCCTGTATCACTAATTTCAGCCAGTGACTTCCTGAAATTGTTCCACGAGTTATAAGGATTAGGGGAATAGAGCGTGTAACTGGTTAAGTTCATCCATTTGTTTGTTCAGTTATTCATTTATTTCTTCGTTTAATTGTCAATGGTAAAACATAGAAGTTAGTAGTCAGCTGGGGACCTTGGGGTCAGGAATACTTGAATTTGAATTCCTGGGATTCCACCTCCTGGCTGTAAAATCTCGGCAAGTTGCATGACCGATCTCAGCCTCCATTCCTCATCTGTAAAATGGGGCATAGTTGCAAGGTTGTTGTGAGGATTTTTTGAAGAACATTTAAGGAGCATAGTACAGTACCTGGCATGTATTATTAATACGTGCTCAACCATATTTGCTATTCCCATTCATGAATTCATATTCGAAAGAAATTTACTAAGTACATACTGTGTGCCAAGTTTTGTAAAATTTTAATATGGTTAGGATATAATTCTTGCTTTTAAGGGGGTTAAGTCTAGATCAGAGGTGAATTCAGGGACTTCCTGAACTTGGATGGGGAAAAAAAAATCACATCTTGATTTTTCACTAACCTCTAACTGAAATTTAACATTCCTTCAATTATGAATTTATATAAGAAATTACAGAGGTAGTCACAATATATGTGACTTTGTCACCAACAGAGATCATGAACACTTTCAAAGCATATTATAGTTTTACAGAAATTTTGAAATTTCATTTATGCTCATCATTTCTTCAAAATTATAGTTATTAGACCCACTGCTAGATCTGAGAATTGTGTTAATAAAGAAGCACATTCATAACTATATCTCAAATGTTGTTTTATATTTTGAAAACTATATATTAGTTTAATTATTTTGTGTTCATATGTATTCTATTTTATGCATTTAAAAACAGTGTTCTGAAATGAGTACATAACACATATTTAACTTACCTTGTGTGAGGCTGTCCATAACAGCACTATTCATTACAACGAAAAACCGAAAACAAGCCACATGTTCATCAATAGAAGAATGGATTAAATCAGTAGTGGCATATTCATACAATGCAATACTCCCAGCAATGAGAATGAATAAACAATTGCTACATTCAGCAACATGGGCGAATCTCTCAAACATAAGATAGAGAAAAAGAAACCAGACACAAAAGGGAAAATACTGGATGATTCAATTTATATCAAGTTTCAGAACTGGCT